TGCATACCTAAAGATGAAAGTATAAGAAACAAGATTTTAGAAGAGGCTCACTCCACCCCGTATGCTGCACATCTAGGTGGTACGAAAATGGATAGAGATCTTCAAGATACATTTTGGTAGAGAAACATGAAAAGAGGAATTGGTCTATTCGTGGAGAAATGTATTGTCTGTCAGCAGGTCAAGGTAGAACATCAAAAGCCGTCAGGACTATTGAAACCGTTGGATATTCCAGAATAGAAATGGAAACACATAGCAATAGACTTTGTGGTAGGTCTTCTGAGGTCAGCAAGAGGTCACAGTGCTATTTGGATAGTAGTTGATCGTTTGAGGAAGTCAACCCAATTTCTGCCAATCAAAGTAAATTTCAACATGAAACAGTTCGCACAATTATATGTCGGGAAGATAGTCAGATTGCATGTAGTACCAGTCACCATTGTTTCGGATATGGACCCAAAGTTCACATATAAATTTTGGAAAAGTTTGCAAGCAGCCTTGGGGACGAAATTGAAATTTAGTACTGTTTGTCATCCTCAGAGAAATGGGCAGTCAGAAAGAACCATTCTAACTCTTGAAGATATGTTGAGGGCATGTATTTTGGATCTTAGCGTGTGATATTGATATTTTTCAATGCAATGGTGAACTCAATATGAAGGTTGAACTCTAAAAATAATATGAAGGAATTAATCTCATGTTTCTATCAATGTTCAACTCTTATTTTTTCGAATGGTGGCGTGCATATATATAGTGTAGAGGTTTTGGGTAGCATGTGCCGGATAAAAACCTTAAAAAACGAGAATTAGGTTTTCTCATGATACGCTGTCGCTCGAGCAACAGTTCAGCGACAAGTAAGCGGCAGTGTGTCGTTCGAGTTAAATCCAGGCGACAGGCGCCCACGCAGCTTCTGTTTTTACTGCTTGAGCACTAACTGAGCGATAGGCTAGCGAAATTGCGACGACACTTTTTCCTTCATTCCATACTCGAACTCTAAGACTTCTAACTAATCACTTGACACTTTAACTTTTAAAAACTCTTTTACAATAATAGTTTTGTCAAAGAATTTCCAACAATTTTAAAACCTAACAAATACAAATAATAATTTTCTACCTAATTTAAGCATTGAACGTTTTTCAATGTACCAAATTGTCGATCCGAACTTAAGAGTCTGAGTATTGTTCATAATGTTCCGTCGAGTCTAGACAACCCATGTTTTGGCACTAATGCACAGATTTTAGTCACTCAAACTTCATTAAAATGGACGTTGAATGTTAAAGTTCTGTCCACCTTTGTTGAATAGAATTGAGATCATCAAATGGGAAGCAGTTTACTTTAAGAAGAAATACTACATTAGGATTATGTAAATTTCCAATTCGATAATTTTTACATAGTTAAAAAAGCCAATGATGCCGTGCAAGTGCCAAGAATTTAGAACGAGACACTAATTAGGGTTCGACTTGCATTAGCCAACAAATAATTAGAAAAGAATTAAATAAAAACGACACCTCATTTTTCTTTACAATCTCCCAATTTGGTTTTTTATTTATTTACTTAACTCAGTAAAATTCAATTTCATGCAACACTTCAAGAATATTAATATAAATATTTGTTGAAAAACATTTAATCAATAAAGGACACAAAAAAATGGGTACGGAATTTAATTAAAAAGGAGGAAAACAAGATTCCAAGAGAAAGTGAGATCAGGGTGGAAAAAGTAATTTTTCGAAGTGTTGATTCCCACATCATTGGCTATTTTGAGTGAAAACGGACCAATGAGCAAAGCCCTCGATGTACGGCCCCTTTCGACCAAATTCCATCGGTTAAGGGCTCCAAAAACAAATTTTTCGCATTTTTGAATAATTTTGTTAAGCTTAATTAAATTAGGATTTTTAATTTCAATTATAGTTACGTTAGTCGTTATTTTTAACTCTTATCATTATCTAGAATAATTCATTATTTTGGAGTTTGTCATCATCCAAATTTTCATTATTGATTATTACTTTTATTTGAGTGGTAAGTCTTAATGACCTTAGTTGATTTTTTATTATAATAAAATTCATGAGAAGTTTTTCTCAAATATTATCTCTTTTTTAATATTCGTGATCCAATCAACAGGTTAGAATTTTCAAGTGAGATTTTATTTTCACTACATCATAATCCAAGCTCCCTATGAATGCTTGGATTTGATAGCTTAAAACCCATCATCTAAGTTGGAGTGGCTTTTTAATGAAAAAATGAAATAAAAATAAAGCAAACAAAAATTGAGTTAAACAATTAGTAATTCCAACAAAGTGATCTAATTAAAGTTTCATCAAACATAACTTAGTCATGTAATCATCAAGGGTTAATACCCTAAATATTCACTGAACTTTTCCAAAAATTTCGAGGAGTTCACCGAACTTCAAAACTTTCCTAAGTAGTCACTGAACTTTGCAAATAGTTCTTAGGGGGTCACTGAACTTCTAAACTTCCCTAACTTAGCCATGTTTGGTAATATTATTTCAAAATTCTTTAATTTTTATACTCATTTTCAATCACACATTTATAAAATAAAATATTTTTGCACGTAAACCCAAAAGAAAATTCTTATTTTTTAACCATATATTCTCTAAAAATTCACAATTCAAAATTCAATTTACTCAAAATAATTGCCGGTTTGGTCACTGTGTGGGCAATCATTAAACAAGGCAGTATTTTGTAGCAAGATGTCAAACATAATACTTCTTTTTCTTAATTTTCAAAATCAATATAGTCAAAGATTATATGAATTAAACAAGAAAAACAAAATCCACAATTTGTGGTCAGTCAAACGTGTGTAATGCATGTAACATGTGTATTCAAATGAAACATTACTTTCCAGTAATACATCCCACATTTCCATTACGTATCAACTATGCTAATTATATGATAGCAATTCAACATCTGAATTCATTTCAACTCAATAAAAAAACATCAAGACATAAAGATGTTAGTATGTCCGACCTCTCAATTATGTCTCATAAAGTACTCAGAATATCTACACCGTATTGATATACCACTCTCCCAAAGTATACTACAATTTTGTTTGGTGAAAACTAAAATCAAAATGTTAATATAAATCAAAGCCAACATTTAATTTTAACCACACATTATATAGCGTTCGTAACTTTTCAATCACACATTTTATCAACTTCTGTCAAAATTTATAAAAAATCTGACTTTAATTATCACCAAACAGGACGTACACATTTCAATCAAGAATAGCAAGTATCAACAAAGCAACAAATCATTGGAGCATGTCAAGAAACAACGTTTTACACATCATATGCCACATCTGACTGACTGACTGACTATAGTATGTACTGAAAAAAATACTGAGAGAAAATAATGCAAAGAAATAAAAAATTAAGCGTCAAATGTCTTGTCCAAACACTGACTGACGACAATATGTACTAAAAAAAGTAGTCAGTAAGAGATTTACCCTTTCCCTTACTGGTGAATCCTGTATCAGATGGAGTTGGAGTAATCATTTGTGCAAACATGTAGCCTATTGTATCTGGATGAGATAGCATGTCTAGTGCTATAATTAGAACAAAATAATAATTATAATGAAATAAAGAATTAAAAAACAAGAATGAAATGACCTATAGGCAGTGGAGTTTGAGCCTGAAAACTCATTTTCATAGGGTCTCTACCTAACTTTGAACTACTCCTGATCCATTTTTCTCCTTTTTCTCTTTATTTTGTTGGGGAGGAGGAGAGTCCTTTTGATAAACACAACACTTTCAAAGGCGCTACCTTAGCACAAGTAAAATAGAAAAACAAAAGGAAGCTACCCTAATAGACCAACAAATCGACTATAAGAAAGTACCAATGAATCGAAACAATAACAAGATTTAAATAGTCTAACGATTAGGGATTTCGCACATCTGCAATTATCAATATAAAAGTAGGTTAAATTATTAGACGGGGCGGTGAGAAAATTTTGCTAACCTTGATTAACTTGGTGAATGGACTTCTTAATCTGGTTCATGATCAGGTCTGATCAACAGTATCAACATGTATATTTCTTGTGGATTGGCTTCCTCAATTTCTTTATATTATCGCGTATACAATTTTATACGTGATGACGGACAAGAGAGCAGCATATTTGTGCACTGAAATACAGCAGGATAGCTTTTTTTGCACTACTTTTAAATTCATTTCAATAGAAGGAAGTCGATTCTGTTTGATTGTTCAAACAGTGTCGTGCTAAAAGATTGAAATGTATCAAATCAATAAGTTGGTACTTTCTTTCAAATAATGTATGTCCACACTAATTAAAGAAGACTTCAAATAGGAAAATTACCTTACCAGCAGCTATTGTATGAGCAAACAATGTAATAAAATGATAAGTAAGTACATTAGCATAAGTTCCAAGTGTGGACAAATTAATTTACTATTTACAAAGGTTTTCTCAATCATTTTATTAAGAACAACTACATAAAATAAAAACAAAGGAAAAATTTTCGCCAATCAAATCAAAATTATATATAACTAAGAAAGAGTCAAATCCGAAACAACAAGGTTGAAGCCTGCTAATGAATGCTAATGATTAGCTATAGAATTTCAAGAATCATCTCCAGTCCAATTTATAATGATCAAGAAATGAAAATACATTTTTACATCAGCAGAAAATGTAATTAACGTCAACAGTAACATTTAAATCATTCAAAGGAGATACAAAAAATATATATGTATATCAAAATCATTATGCTAATGAGCGATGATCAGTGTGAGCTTCAGACTTCAGTTTGTAAGAAATTGCTAAGAAAAATGGAAAACAAATTTGTACCCAGCAATTAAAAATAAATCGAATTTCATGGTATGCCGTTGTCGCGTTTGTAGTGCAAAGACACTCTTGGGGAAGTAATCTTTAATTTGAATGGATTTGAAATCAATTCAAGGATGTCAGAATAGGAAATGAAAATTGAAGAAAATAGACATTAATTCACTGGTGTAGAAGATATTTCTGTTTACTTACAAAATCAACTTTTTGATAATAACTCGTCTAATAGATCAGATCCCAAGTCCTCAAGCACCAAAACATCTTCTTCTTTACTTATTTGTTTCTTTTTCCCTCTGTGTTTCGACGAACCCCTAGTCCTGTGAGTCTCTTTTATGGCTACAGCTGGAGATGAACCATCTTTGCACATGTAGTTCATGTTTTTAAGGGATTCTTTTACTTTCTCTATTGAGAAATTTATGGGTGCTGAAGCTCCACGCATCACAAATGCAGCTTGGTCATAAGCCAAAGCAGCTTTTTCCGCGCTGTCGAATGTTCCAAGCCAAACCCTTGTTCCATTCCTTGTGGAATCCCTTATCTCAGCAGCATACTTTCCCCATGGCCGTTTTCTCACACCGATATAACGCTTTTCTTTAACAGCCTGAATAGGAAATTCTTCGATTTCCTCTTCATTATTCAAATCTTGGGAGGATTCAGCTTCTTCTTCCTTGGCATCAGTACTCAAAGTTAGGCTCTGATCTTCAACTTCAAAAGGTTCTTTACCCCAAGAAGAATTCATAATTTAAAATGATTATCTCCTTCTTCTTTCGTTTTTGTCGTAGGAAATCTTAAATGGCTGCAACCCTTGTGCAAAAAAATGGGAAAAAAAAAAGCTAAAATGCGGTGAGAAGAAGGTTTAATTGAGTTGGATAATGAAGGCCAAGATTCTAAGACAGCCCGGATGCCTTGGCTTTATTATAAAAGTTTTGTGGGGTTATAAAATTAATTTGTCTCAAGAAGAAAGAATTATTATGTTTCACTAACAAAATGATGCACTATTATGGAAATGCTGTCTTGCACTAGATTATGGCTTGCTGAAGAAAGGATTTATACTTATTGGATGCCCAAGTTTATTTTCTTGAGAATTTTTTTCTTTTAAAAAACGCGTTCGATTGTACTTTTTAATTACTTATTTCGTGAAATATAATTTTTAAATTTACTTTTTTCGGAAAACAAGACTATACTAACCTTCTAGAAACCTACTTCTAAGAGCCAGCTCAACATCCTCAAAATAGGATTAAAAGTTTAGATTTTTAGTAGATTGTAATAGAAATTTTTAACATGTATGGTTGAAAAATTGTGGGATCCATGAAAGATGTGGTTAACATTGATTGATTGACTTTGACTTGAATTAAAATCAGATTTTAATTCGAATCAAANTAAATAATAAAGATACAAAATTAATTCTCGATGTCACATATTTATAAAAATTGTAAGCGTATTAAGTTTTTAATACGAAATTAAATCGATTGTGCAAGTGGATAAATTCGATACTCAAATATTCGTTTATAAACTTGTTCCTCTACTATTTTAATTACCTTTTTTTTTAAATAACCTATACCATGAAAAAACAAACTATTATTATTATTATTATTATTATTATTATTATTACTATTACTACTTTTGTCTTCTTCCGTCGGCGGATGCCACGGGGTCGCTTTCTTAGGACTGACCTTTAATGTTGCCAGTTTATATATTAATTTATAAATTGTGTTAGGGTTTACTTTATGCCGAGGTTTTAAAATCATCATAATCATAAACTAATCACCATTTTATATTTGTTAAAACTGTATTTAAGTAAATAAATCATCGTCTATCCAATAATTAAGCTTTAAACAACGAGTTCAACATTATCTTAATGCAAGTGAAGTAATTAAATTTAATTAATAATTAAGGGCTCAATTATGCCATTTCAAAACCATCTACAGAGTAATGGCATTTGTGTCCAATAAATCCTTGTGAATATTTTTGTTGATGCATAAGTAATGATCAATTAAAGTGATTGTAAACTCTTTAGTTCATTTTTTAATAAATAATGTTATATAGTATCAACATTGCTAAACACTATTTTAAGTACCAAGTCCAATTCATGATACGTTTAATTAAATAGATTCGGCACCATCAAATATAATTGCATCTTTTATTTAATGAGATACATGTATTGTTACATATTTTGATTTTAAATTCCATTATTTTTCATTAAATTAAAATTCATCTTTCTCTTTTCTTATTAATCATACATTCTCCAATAAAATAATATTACAGATAAATAAATAAACACTTTTTTTTTCTTTTTTAAGCACACATTCTCCGAAAAAATTATTATTCAGTTTATTATAAAGTGGAATGATGAGGCCAAATGGGCGCATAGTATTATTCTTGTTCGATAAATTTATAACTTACTAATTATTTGAACAATGAATCACACGATATGCTATTGATCTTCTAAACAACGGTGTTTAGCTTATACTAAGCACCAGTGACGTGACACGATATAATAGGTGATGTAATTAATTTTGTAATCAATCACCATTTCCCACCTCCAAAGTAAAGCAAATTAAGTTACTACAATTGATGAAATTCTTTAGGGAGATTTGCTTATCAATAAAGATTAACCATTGTTTGAGCTCCATTATTTGGAAAAAAAAATGATTTTGAGATAGTATTATTTGAAAAATATGTGGTTAAAAAGTCAGAATAATTTTTGGGTTTATATGTAATATTATTTTATTAAGAGAATGTGTGGTCGATAAGATGGAGGAAAAAAATAAATTAAAATTTAATGGAGTCTGGACAATAATAGCCTTTTATTTTACTCGCCTACTTACAAATTAACTAACTTATAAACATGCACTGTGTAAAACCTTATAATCTCTCGAGCTCCCCTTCCCATGGGAAGACATCCACACCTAACGGTGAATCTCACCGGCTATATTCCATGGTCTTGTCCCTCTCGTTTAGAAGTTAGAACTGAACTAAGAAAATTTATTTTGCATTAATTTCAGAAACTCCTATGATTAAGGCAGGAAAATCTCTTGAATATGATTATTGTTCGATCAATCTTTTGCTGCTTAAAAAAGGTTGATTGTGAGAGAAAAGAAGCAAGGAAAAGTGAGAACTCTTGAATAAGTTGAATTTTTTGCATGACGAAATGAGAATTAACTACACGAAAAAGTGGAAACTTTTAAGCATACCTCCATGAAATGTATTCTGATACTTGCCATGGAACTCGCTTGCAGAAGCAAACATAAACTGTTGTTGAACTTCATTGATTTCTCCATTACACCGGTTGGATTTGAAAGTTCAAACCAAAGAGAAATTCTGGAAATTTATGTGGCTTTTTTCTGGTGAAATAAAAAAGAATATTCATTTAATTATTACTTATAAGCATAAGTGGTTTGAAATTTCTTCGTTAATTACTTGAGTATTGCTGTGGTTTCTTTTATAGCATTCGTGTCATTTGATGTAAACAACTCTTTCTTGGGTTTGGTGCTGCCTTTGTCTTCTTCCGTCGGCGGATGCCACATTGGAATGGCACATATTTAACAAGGACAGGCAATTTAATTTAATAATACCACCAAATCTGACTAATGAAACTGCAACTGTTCGTGTGTGTGAAGGATTTGGGCAGAATCTTACTTGTTAATAGAGTGTATATACGTTAGAAAAAGGAGAAAGACGTGTTAAATATTGTTCGGAAAAATATCTTACTTCAACACACGCTACCAGGCACAGCAGAAAAGAAAAAAAAAAAAATTACGTAGTTGAATAAACTCACCTAAGCTGTGGAGAGTTTTCTGTCATAAAAAAGAGGGCGCTTAGGACATTCTTGTACAGAACAACGAGCCATAGTAATTCTCCATTAATGAAAACGCAATTTACCATTCAAATCTTCAAAATTAAAAAGTCTTTGATCTGTCTCACAATCTCTCTACATAAAACTAAAATAGAAATTGCAGCGGATGTAGTGGAAGCTATAGTCCAAGCCTTCCCCAGCCCATATGGAAAATTAAGAATAAACTGTTCAAATTTAGCCCAATTAGCCCAGCTCTGGTTTGAGTTCCAACCCAAGCCCAATGCTTATTTATCCAAATTTTGTAAAAGATACTACAATTATGAAAGTGGAAATTACACCCAACGAAATTTTTTAAGATCCAACTTCAAAAATCAAATCTAAAATTTGTTTATACAAAAATCAGATAGTAATTAAAAATTTTAATATTAATAATAATATTATAAAATTGATTTAATTTACATACCCCACCCTCCAGCATTAACCCATCCAACTCGATTTTCAATCTGAAAACACCATAATCTCTCTCTCTCTCTCTCTCCAAGCAATTTATCTCCAACGATGGCGCGTAGCTCTCTATGCAACTTATCTCTACCGCCAAGCAACAAAGCTCACTGCAAGCAGTGCCATGCAGCATCGTTGCGCGATGCCTCTTTGCTTTTCTGATGGTCGATCGATGATTTGTTGGACGTTATTTGTGGGTGATGATGGCGGTGGTTGTTTAGGTGATGATAATTTTGTTGGTGGTGAAGGTTGTCGTGGTGGTGTTGTGGTGCGACATTTGCTTTTTGATGTTGTTGGAGTGGTGGTGGTGGTCGTGGTGGTGTAGTCTTTGTTGTGGATTTTATTTGTTGGTGTTTTTGGGTGGCGGTGGTGATGGTTTCGTGGATCTTGTTGGTGGCGATGGTTTTGTTGGTGGTTGTGGTGGTAAGGTTGTGATGGTAATTTTGAAGTTGAAAATAATAGTTGTTGGAGGTGGTCGTGCCACGGCAGATTAGGGTTGGGTGGGGTAGGTAATGGGATGAAGAGAGTTTGTGACCAATATTTTGGATACTTTTGCGACAAAAAATAACATGTGATAGATAAATATTCATGATCAGCCTTGGTGGTGGATCCGATATCTAGTCAGCATATATTATCGACGCACGTCATGTTTCAAGTCTTCTAAGGTGATTCGGAACAGGTCATATCTTAAATTTTAAATAATAAATAATACGTGATCTAAAAAATTTGAATTATAACTTAAATTGTGATTTATAAAATTTTTGATTTGTAACCACGAAATAATTTGTGATTGATAAAATTATTTATTTGTGACCAAGAAATAGCTTGTGACCAATTAATTCAAGAACTTCTCACTAAATTATATAGAATTGTGAACTTAATATATTTAATTAATAAATTATATTTTTATTTAATTATTTCATAAATAAAATTAAATAATATCTGATTTTTTATATCTTAAACATTGTTTCTTAATTTTAAAATGGCTCATTGTTAATCTTTTAAATATGAAAATTTTCCATTATTAAATACTCTTTTTTACGGCATTAATCAAGCGTGAATATCTTATTGTCAAATTAAGAATTTTATTTAATGCGTGATTGACTAAATTTACTTATGATAATTTTATATTATTGTCAATTTAAACAATTCATTTAATGCAAGTTTGAATAAATTTAATTATGATAATTAAGTAAATTTTATAATAGATAATTTGCATTAATCAAATCTAAAAATAAATTACTTCTTTTAATAGTTAGAGACGCCACTCGATTTGTTATGATCAAAATAAATTACTTGCTCTAGATTTGATCTTGTCAATACAATGAATATTTGTTAATACTTATTTATTTATAAATTGATCTATATATAAGTATATTATTGAAATTGAGTCAAACATGAACGTGAATTAAATCTAATTTTTTTGGACCATCAGAATTCTT